GAAGTGGCGTGAGTGTTGATACATTCTGAAGGCAAAACCAACAGGATTTCCTGAAGGAAAAGGGGTGTGAGAGAAAGAAAGGAGTCAAGGATGACCACAGGTTTTTGGCCTGAGCAGCAGGAGGGAACGTGTTACCAAGAGCTGAGATAAGAAAGGCAGTGGAAGGAGCAGGATTATTGGGAAACATGGGTTAACTGTGAGGTGTCTAGTAGACATTCAAGGAGAGAAGTGGAATTGGCAATTGAATATATGAGTCTGGAGTTCAAGGGAGTGGTCTGGGTTGGGAATGTGAACTTGAAGATCATCAGCATATGGATGGTATGCTGTGAGTCTGGATGATACCACGAAGGGAGTGATGTAGATAGAGAAAAGGAGGTGGAGCAGGAGAACCAGAAAAGAAGTCTGAAAGAGAAGCCAAGTGAGGAAAGAATTCTAAGGAGATGGGAGTGGTCCACTGGGTCAAATGATGTTGAGAGTTCAAGTTAGAACTGTCTATTGGGCTTGGCCCAGGTGTCATGGACTAGGACAGTGGCGAGTGAAGACAGAGGCTGGGATGGTGGTGAGGGATCACCACATAAGAGCAGACCCTTCTCTTCCCCCCACTCCAGGAACACTCCATCAAGGTGCTGGAACTGATCTCCACCATCTGGGACTCGGAGCTGCACATTGCTGGCCTCAGACTCCTCAACAACCTCCCACTGCCCGACTTTGTGCACCCACAGCTGCGACGGGTGATGCCTGCCTTGATGGAGATCCTGCAGTGCGACTACATCCTGGCACAGGTGCCCGGAGCCCCGTAGCTGAGGCCCCACCCTCACAGCCAGCCCTGGGAACAGACCCTAGAGGGGGGAACAGAGATTGTGAGAGATTGTGTCTTCCCTGCTCAAGCCCACACTCACCTGCCCTCTCTTGCTTTCCTCTATCCAGGTGCAAGCTATACGGCTGCTGAGCTACCTGGCACAGAAGAACGACCTTCTCTATGACATTCTCAACTGCCAGGTGAGAAGGGAACTGAAGAGGGGCTGATGGATGCCAACTCAGGTATTGGAGAGGGACGAATCATGGATTCTCCAGATGCTTAGCCCTGATGAGATTGTCTTGTTTCTTCTCCTGCCTCTAAACTAAGTACATTGGAAATCATCCCCTCTTCCCTTCCCTCACTAAAATGAGAATCCATCCTGGTGGGAGGGGGGTCTCCTTTGAGGGGCTTCCTGAACTCTGAGATAAACTCAGGTGACAAAACAAAAGCTAATGTAGATAGAGATTTTAAGATCAGGAAAAAACGACTTAAGGCAAGAAGCATTATTGGGGACAGGAAGGATCACTACATAATAATCAGGAGTTCAATTCACTGGAAGGATACTCATTTAAAAACCCTGTTGTCGTCTAGTCAATTCTGACTCATCGTGACCCTACAGGACAGAGTAGAACCGTCCCGTAGGGTTTCCAAGGCTGTAATCTTTATGGAAGGAGACTGCCACATCCTCCCCCACCCCCTCCAGGAAACGGCTGGTGGGTTCGAACCACCAACCTGTTGGTTAGCAGCGGAGCATTTAATCACTGTGTCACCGGGGCTTTTTACTGAAAGGATAAAGTAATTCTAAACTTGTATGCCGCCTAATAACATAACCTCAAAAGATATATGGCAAAACCTGATAGAATTGCAAGGAGAAATCGACAAATCGACCAGCGTAGAGGGAGATTTAAACTACTCTGTCTGCAGCTGATAAAAACCGGAAACTAGTAAGGCAATAAAAAGAACCAAACCTACCCCATTGCTGTGGAGTCGAGTCCTACTCATGGTGACCCCTTGTGTTACAGAGTAGAACTGCTTCATAGGGTTTTCTTGGCTATAATCTTTATGGAAGCAGGTTGCCAGGGCTTTCTTCTGTGGCACCACTAGGTGGGTTTGAACTGCTAACCTTTAGGTTAGTAGTCGAGCACAAATCGTTTGAGCCACCCAGGGACCTAGTAAGGTATACTTGCTATGAATAACACAGATAACAAGCTTGAGCCATACCTAGAACCCTGCACTATACAATTATTAAATGCATATTCCTTTGAAGCACACACAAAACATTTATAAAAGTTAACCACACACTAAGCCTTGAAGTTTATGTCTCAACAGTCTCTCAGAACCAATGTTATTATCATATCAGTCATGTTTCATGAACACAGTGCAGTTGAGTTAGAGGATGATAAGGAAAAGAAAATTAAAAAGTCCCTGTATATTTGAATCTGAAACTTAGGTGCACTGGGGAGTTGAGACAGTAGGGGAAAGAAAGAGTAACTTCAGAGTAG